TGGCTCCACTAGACTACGAGGTTAGGCAGGATCGCGCCACTTCTCGAACGCCAGTCGGTGCTCCTGCCACCGCGCTACAGGCGGTGCAGCTTCCTCCGCCTGGCGGAGGCGCGCGTAAATACGAGCGTCCATCCCCGCCAGGATCTCCAGCAGGGGAAACGGTGCGGTATCCTCGTGCGATTCTAATGGCCATGCGGCGCTGCACGCCTTTGAGCATGGCTCTGTAGCGCCGGACACCCGTCACTCGATGTGACCAGACGGGCGCCCCATAAAGGGCCACGGATCGCACCACCCCACCGTATAAGCGGCGAACTCCCTTGGAAGGACCCCACCAGATTAGGCAGCAACCGGTGCAATGCACCTGCCACATTATCAATCCAGGGAACCAGGCATGGGAAGGCTATTCCTTGCCTGCGACTGAGTTTCCGAGCACATACAACCCGAGTATTGTTAAGGTGCGACTGTATAGGCATCTTCTGGACAAGCTCGTTCCACGTCTCGTTTTGTAGACCCTACCTTTACTCCAGGGCTAGGCAGTTTTCCTACAAAATATCATCAACATTCTTTCTTGAAATAAATTATGATTAGCGAATTCACACTTTCGGTTGAGAGACGTTTCACGATTAGTTTGTAATCGACGAGACAATCAATAAAATCAACATTCTCGATTCTTATCCGATTGTTTCCAGAATAAACCATTTTTGTATCACTAGATTTCAGATAAACACATCGTAGATTGTCTTCATGTAAATATGTAGGTATCTAGAGATATTTATGATTGTGCCTGGTTTATGATATACTCTCCTTATGTAGAAAAGATTTTTTATGAGATCAAGTGACGTGACGAACAAGTCGCCCACCTGATGGGGCACTTACCACTTAAATCCGGAAAAATAATTTCATTTCCGATGTGTAACAATCGCGAAAACATAAGTACTCGATTTTTTTTTATAATAACTAAGTGATGTGAACGAACTTTTTCACAAGAAGGTCTACAGCTACTTAGATGTTACAATAATTTTAAGTAGTACATTTATGTGGCCAGTAGGGCATGACAATAATTGAAAGGTAGTCAGTGTTACATACATAATACATAATATCTCGCTCTTGTCCCACAGGAGGGTAGGTAGAGACGGAACGCCACTCTACTCTCTTTACTCGGTACTGACACAACTCTCGAGCCTTACATAAATGAACTACCTACTTCTTTTATTAACCGACTTTAAAAAAGGAGGAGGTCATACGTTCGGCTGTATGTATGTTTCATGTATGTTATCCGATTTCTCCGTCGAGTGATTTAGAAAATTCTTTTTTGTTTGAAAGGATGCACTCTCGTGCTGGTCCCATTGTTACAAAATCAGAGTCTGATGGAGGATCACATGAAAATCGAGGAAAATCCTCAAATTTTATAGGCATGTCAGTGTACTCACCGATTTCTCTCTCAATTGTCGACCGATTTTAAAAAGACTTTTTGTTTGAAAGCATATACTTGAAAGGGTTGTAACCCTAACTAGCCGTGAACAGGTTCACGGCAATGAAATGAGAAACTTCCGGTCCACAAAATTTATTAAAGAAGTAAAGTTTAAAGAAAGGCTGTAACAATAAAGGTGAATGTAAAAAAACAGGTATAACAGTATAAAACACTCCCTACACTTTATTATTAAGGCACTTACCCCTAAATGGGCCGAGAAACTGAATTACAGAAATAGATACATAAAGACTGTAGATTTAGAAATTATTACACATGATTAGCTTATTAACAGCTCTGACTGTTGGTCGAGCTGGGAGTGACCGTGGTACGAAAACAAAATGAGAAAGTGAAGGAAGATGGAACAATTCAAATTTAAAATTTAAATACAAGTAAAATAAAAAAAATAATAAGATACAAGAGGAGAGAGGCGACACAGAGGTGAGATGACAGTGTAAGGAGGTCACATCGTCAAATACTCTCGACGTGGTCCCTGATGCCGACGATGCTATTCCGGGTTCGTTTCGATTATCACAAATTAAAAACATATTTCACTTCACTTCACTTTTTATTTTTATGGCTCCATCAATATGGGAACTGATGATTTTGCCAGTGTCACAGTTGAAAGAAAAAAAACGAAACAAAGAAAAAAATTTTCGCTAAGCTCTGATAGGACATTAACCGGTGTTGGTAAGTTGGACTACGGGAGTACTCAGTTGAGAATGTAAAACAAAACAGCAAAACAACATTTATAAATATATGTTATTTAAGTGGATAAATTTACATAGAGTAACAATATGGGGGGAGAACACTAAAGTTAAGAGGTTGTTTATGTTAATGGGGCGGGGGAATTTTGGAGAAAGTAAGTTATAAAGTGGAACAGCAATATTAGGACAATTGAAAAAAATGTGTTCCAAGGTACCGTCTTCTAGGCCGCACTCGCACAGAGTGATCTCGAACTCTGATTTTACGCAAAAATACAGGTGTGCAAACATGGCCTAAGCGCAAACGAATAATAGTGGAAGTGATGTTTTTAGGCAAATCGCGACGTTTAAAAAACCAGGGTTTAGTGGGTAGATTTGGTTGGAGGTTACCATAGTGTCTACCAACAGTTTGTCGTGATTCCTGCCAAAGGACCGACCAGGAGGCTAGCATTTGGGGTTTGGTCATGGCGAGCAGATCTCTGGGAAAGCACTTACAGTATTTGCATACGCCAATTCTTGTCGCATCCTTTGCAAAGGCGTCTACTGCTTCGTTGCCACTAATCCCACTGTGACCGGGAATCCAGGCCAGAGTTACCTCAATTTCCGCACAATGACATCGGTACAGAGCTTCCTTAATTTGGAGGGTGATGGAGAAATTGTCTTTGGAATGAAACGGTAGCTTAATAATGTCTTGGAGGAAAACATATTTTCCGCAAATAAAAGTCGACTTCACACTTGACGCAATGCATGTAAAGAACAAATCACCGCCACCATGACAACCATAAAAAAGTATAAAATGCACAAAGGAGTCCGTAACAGTCCCACTGTCACCAAGAAGTCAGAATCTGATGAGGGGATCCCGTGGAAATCGAAAAAATCCGATAAGCAAACTATTGAGGTCGGTTTCTTTTTTCAATGAAAAAGTTACAATTATTCTTGTCACTTCGGATTTCAGCCTTTCAAGGACATCACTGATCTGGTCAATGTAAGTCTTTCTGGTTATATTTACATAAGTTACAAAAGTTACTGTTATATTTACATAATGTCTATTTTATAATATTATTTTTTTTTAAATTTTCGCCTATTTATGGTCTATCTACAATATTGATGCTGAGTCAGAGCCATTTCAACAGAAAGTCTTACAAATAGATATGACTAGTACAATCTCAGTACAGAGTACTAAAAAAACCGACCTCAAAAATACGTGGAATTACGTCTATTTGCTAAGTTTTATTGAAATATCCCCTAGTTCGCCACTATACAGAACTTGACACTGGAGATAATAAAAATCGGTTCTCACTACTCAAAGTATATTGAGAGAAAAACGCCTTGAATTGGAGAAATAGCAAAATCAACCATTAAAGTAATTGCTCCTAAATTATAGTTAGGCGCTATTTATAAAAATGAATCTTCATGTGTGAACAGCCACCCTTCGAGGTGGATGATTTTCTTCATAATGAAATGGGACCACTATGGAAGTACCCCCTTTCCAACAAAAAAAGAATCATGAAAATCGGTTCACAAATACCGGAGTACCATACATACAAAAAAAAATTGTCGCGTTGAGAACCTCCTCCATTTTTGAAGTCGGTTCATAAAATTAATGTTTTGTGTGTATTTATAATATAATATGTTCTATGTGCCTTAGTGAAATGATTGTAAATGTTTGTTTCTGCTCGTATTTGTGCTGAATAACCGTTTTATCTATATAACGTTTTATTTATAATTTCATAAAAAATAATTGAATATCAATTCAATAAAAAATAATGAAAGCTCTTATTGACCATATAAACATCTCAGCCGCGGTAGCCTTGCTTTGACCTAACCAACTCTCAAGAAAAGCTTCAAGCATGAGCTTTTCGGTGAAGGAAAAACATCATGAGGAATCCTGCACACGTTTCCAATGCGCATTGGGCCCGCGTGGAAACTACAGCCCAAGTCCTCTCTTTAACTAGTATTATTATTAAATTCTCTCACTCTTGATTTACAATAAAGATCTATTTTTAATAATTAATTGAAGAAAATTCTGTTGTCTTAACCTTCACACTCCGCCATTTCTAGATTAATTAATAATATATTATTTGTCAAGATTTACAACTATATCATCACCCTGGCATCTTGCCTATTTGAAATTCCATCTCATTTTTAAGTCATCGCATCGCATTGTTCATTGTGACTCTTAGTACTAAAGTTATAAAGATGGAAATAAGTAGCTTTTAAGTGAAATCACAACGGTGTTTGACATTTATACCAAAATTACTTTTGCTATTCCTAAACTTTATCCAAAAGATTATAACACTTATTATAGGCCGCCAAAGGTTCAACAACGAGTTTTAAGTTGTCATTGATGGCAGAGTTAATGGTGGGGGTTCACAGGGCGTGTAGGTGCAGTCAGTCGATTACTCAGCGTACAGTCATGCAGGCCTGTGCCCCCCTGCCCCTGTCTGCCATCTCGATTTGCCACACAGCTGAGTAACCTGGCGACCAACTTGTTTAATCGCTACAAGCGCGAGGCATTACGCGCTCGTGTCGATGCCTACGGCAATTGTAAGAGTTAAATAAAAAGGTTTTACTCAAAAACGCGCGCTCTGTTGTTCCTTTTTCAAATAGTTTCGACAACCGCGGGAAAGTTGTACAAGTAAATTTGTTCGACTTTGACTGTCTATTTAGTGTCAAATTTTGTGAAAATGACAACATTGTAAAGTTCTGTGTTTACAAAATTATTATTATTTACTTCATATTTTTTTGAGGACTATTTCATTTTGTTTTCTAATTCGATCAGTATTTAGGAACATACAAAAAATACTCTGTTTTCCAGAAGTGATTAACTATAGTGTTTGCAATTTAAACATGGAGAAGACAGGGGCTTCCAGACTTCTGCAGATGCAGGTGCGTTGTATTTCTGAGATATTCTTAGTAAATTACCTATTAAACAGATGGCATAGACAGTTCAAAAATACATTCTAGGCCATTATAAGTAACCTATGACCTAGAATGTCTCGAAACTAGTTTCTATTGAAGAGTGCAAATGGTTAAAGTCGTAGACATGTTATTATAATCAAAGATTACTTGAAAACGTAACTAGTATATTCCTCACAGTTTACATGTATCATAAAAACAATACGATTAACTACGACATTCAAAAGAAATGTAACGAATTTTAAATTCAAACGGAGTGTTCTAAAAAATCGGTTACTCTGACGTCATTTCCCCCAACCAACGTGCGCTGCTATTCCTTGAGGTTCAAGGGCAACCATACGATACTGTTATCACAAGTGAGTGGAACTTAAAACCTCAAACGTTTCTACGTGTTTATTGTTGTATCTAATTTAGCATCGTTATACTCCACTTCGTTAGCTGATAAGTTGAAATGATTGCTTATCTTGATTTTTATCAAGATTTCTTTGTAAAAAAAGCATTGTTTTCAATTTCTGTTTATATACATTAATATACCTATTAAAACGTTTGTAAAAACAGATAATGTCGATAATGTCTGCCTTGTTTCATGGCTAATAGTACTAAACCAGGTGTAACAAAAGGTAAAAGAAAAGATACTGTTTTAACCGACATTAAAAAAGGAGGTTCTCAATTCGACTGTACGTCTTTTTTGTTTGTATGCATGTTACGCGATAACTCCGAACTATGTGAACCGATTTTGACGATTCTTTTTTTTGTTGTAAAGGGGTACCTCGGAAGTGGTCCCATTTAAATTTGAAGAATATATTCCGGCTCTAAGGGTGGCATACTAGGGGATGATACCGGTTTCGCGCACTTTCCGGTTAACGATGTCAATAAAACTTGGCAAATTAATGTAATTCTACGCACTTTTGAGGTAGGTTTTTTTTGTACTTTGTACTGGTATTATTTGCATTTGTTCTTAACATTCATACTGGACTAAAATGTATGGGACAACTATCGAATTGTATGAAACACATGTTCCTTATATTACAGACTACATAGTAAAAGTTGTTTATATTGAGAGCCACAACTAATGATATACAATTCTTTGCTGAAAATTGTGCCTTACATCATTTACTTAGCCAACAAATTAGCTGTTTAAAAATTGTAAGCAGTAATTAAATTTGTTCTAAGTAGTTAAATTTTTAATGAATTGATATTCAATTATTTTTTATGTGAAATTACTCTACTAGTGTGTTATAATTATTAATACAAAGATCGAACACTCAGAAAAACTCCTTCGATCAGCGCTACGAAGTGGACCTTGGCCTCCGGCACTAAGAAGCGCCACTCTTCTCCCTTCTGTGCCGCTTTTTTACCCTGTTTCGTTACCAATCGGCTATTTGAAGCTTGGACTTGGTCGATCCAGCGATATCTAGAACGTCCAACGGACCTTCTGCCAGTCAGTTGCCCCAGATCTCTTGACTGTAGGATCCTCTTCCATCCTCTCGAAGTAGCCAGGTCAGCGAAGTCGGGCTGGTTTGATCTCACCCATGATGTTAGCCAACAATAAGAAATACGTATACCTTTATTTAACTGCAAATGTAAATATGTATTCTAACCGCTATGTGAATAGACAACGGTGTTTTTTTTTAGACGACTGTCTGTCGTCTTTGAACTTTGAACCCGGTTAAGCATAGGACACTTACCTATTTAGTATACTTATTATTGAATCCAGTCAATGGAACCGCTGTTTTAAACTTTTATAGCGGTTTTTTACAAGCTTGCTTTCTTTACCAAAAGTCTAGTGACGTTGTGAAAATCTTAGAACTCGATACTAGGTAGTTAAATTAATAATGATAATATCATTAATAAAGATTTATAATTATTATATTATAATAATTATAAATCTTTATTACGGACAACAGGTATCCTTGAAGTGTTAGTAATAAAAGTGGTTTATAATTAGGTTAGGTCTTAAATTCTACTACGGATTTTGTGGTTGTTATTAAATGCCGCATCACAGGGCACTCACTCCTGTCCGCGATAGACTTCAGTAGGCCGTTGCTGCTGCCACGTAATCTGTTTAATAAAGACTTCTTCCGTAACAGTGCCATGAAGCAGTTGACGCGAGCTTTCGCAAACATGGCAGACGCAGCAGAGTTCTGAAGGCGTTATTATATTACGTACGCAGGGCTCTGAGCGAGCTTTCGTTATAGCTGACCCACAGGGCACCCGCGTACAGTGGTGTGAAATAGGTTCTAAAAAGAGTGACCTTCACCTCCGTACATCGAGCAAACCTGCAAGCCAGCATGTTCGTCCTCACCGACAGTGCCCTATAATAATAACTGTGCAAAAGACTCCAAAATAGGTACAAAGTTGTACCTAGCTCCCGTACTAGGATCCCATGAGTAGCTAGCTATTACGTTCATCACGTATGTTGCTTTAAAATAAGAATAAATGTTTTTTCAAACGATCAACGCTTCAGGCTTTTTAGAGGTCCCATGGATGGTTACGGTTTACTGGGATGGTTATTAGTCATCAACCAGTTATAGTCCAGAGCTGAGCAGTGGGTTAAAACCCAAGTCCCAATCAAACAACCAAGGTTTTAACTGGGATATTCTATGGTTTTATCACATTTTTGCCCAAAATCTAGGGTAGAAACAGCTATATTTATAATTTTATAATTACAAATTTCGATGTAAAAAATCTGCCAAAAAAGAGTCAACTCCACACAATACCCACCTTACAATCCTGTGGATACTCACTTTTAAGAATGCACGTTACGATTCGATTTTCATGAAAATCGATTCAAGTTTATACGATCTAACGATTTTTTGTAACGATTTGCTCTTCTTCTTCTCTTTCGTATCACTCTTGACCGAGTGGTCGTGGTCATCACGGAGTACGTTTGTTAACGGCTGATGTGTCTTGCCTCACGACATCCCGTCATCTCTCTCTGTTAGTGGACTTCCTCGTGTACTCATGTAAAGGACCGCCCACTGCAAATTTTATTTGATCGGTCCATCGAATGGGTGACCTTCCGCGCGACTGCGCGGGGCACTAGACTTGGTACCCCCCCCTCTGCCTTGCACAACAAGACGCTCTATGGAGTCAAAATTCCGTCTTGAGACGTGACCGAAGAATTTCAGGATGCGAGTTTGTACCACAGTAGACTGATGCTGCTTGATGCCGAGTTCTTGGAGTATGGAGGCGTTTGAACCAAAGTCTGTCCACGTTACCCCAAGCATTCTTCTCCAGCACCACATTTCCAGAGCGTTTATTTTCTTCTTCTCGATTTCACGGAGCGCCCATGTCTCTGCAGCGTACAGAAATATGAGGAAAACTAGTGTTCGGACCAGCCGGATTTTAGTAGCCCTGGTAATGTTTCTATTCCTCCATATTTTCTTCAGTTTATCCATTGCTGTTCTAGATACTGCCGACTTATTATTACACGCTTTTCAAGTGAATCGAATCGTCTAGATCACAAAGCAATAAACATTTATAATAATATCATTAAATTTTGAACAAAACTCGATTTACGACACGTTTGTGCTGTAAATAGTTTTTACCCTCGATTTTTGGCGATAATGAGTTTTAACTCAGTGTTAACAAAGTGCTGGGTTAAAACTCGGGTGGTTTGGATTAATATTAGACATAACTGGTTGTATGTATAAGTATTGGTAAATCACGTGATTTAGATATACCTACATGACATTAAAATAATCTCAGTACAGAGCACTAAAAAAACCGTCTTCAAAAGTACGTCCAATTACATCTATTTGTCAAGTTTTATTGACATCGGTTACCGGAAGGTGCGCAAACCCGGATTCGTCCCCTAGTTCGCCACTATACGGGACTTGACACTGGAGGAAAAATCGGTTCTCACTACTCAAAGTATATTGCGAGAGAAAAACGCCTTGAATTGGAGATTAGCAAAATCAACCATTCAAATAATTGCTCCTTATAATAAAATTTAGGCGCTTTTTCTAAAAATGAATCTTCATGCGTGGTGGATGATTTTCTTTAAAACTAAATGGCATCATTATGGAGGTACCCTGTTTCCAACAAAAAAGCGAATCATCAAAATCTGTTCACAAATACCGGAGTTATCAAGTAAAATACATACAAACAAAAAGTCGAATGGAGAACCTCCTCCTTTTTTTGACACTGAACAAATATACTTACGCTTTAAAGTTCCTAAAAATTTTTCATTTTACCAAAAAACATATTTTTAATTTATTGGCCCCAATATAATGTTAGGTGTCTCCAACAACACATAATCAAACGTCAATACACGACAATGCCCCTATGTAGGACACGAGTCGGTTTGTCTACCTAAACTGGGACAAGCCATCGATAACACATGTCCTATATACAGGAGCCTCAATTGTGTAATGGTTTTCGATTAGGGCGCGACTCTTAGGTTGTTTAAAACTGTTGCTACGTACTTTTTTAACGAGTTTTTTTATGATATGTTTTAAGTAATGAGACGAACAAGTCGTGCGCCTGGTGGTAAGCGACACGCCTGTCAGATAAGTTAACAAGTCCCATGTGCCTGTTATTTCACCAGCATCCTTAACTCTTCAAAACTGGAACACAGTAATGCTGACATTACTGCTTGGCGGCAGAAATAGGTAAGCTGGCAATATTTCCCTGGACGAACTCTTTCACAAGGAGCTCTACTGCTACTAATCTACGTGTTTGTTGCAGATCTTTATTTTTATTGTTTTTAAAGACATTTTTCCCGCACGTCTTTATTATTTTTTTTTATTTTATTATATTTATCGTATCTGTGAGAAATCTACGAAACGGTTTTGTATTTTATTGCTTTTTGTCATTGATCCGACAAAAAGCATATAACTCTAACAAATTTATTACAAAACAAAAAACAATTCTTAACGGGTAAACTTACTCAAACCTACCCATAACAGTTGCAAAGCCACTCAGTCTAGTATTTAGACATAAAGTTGACCTAAATCTTCTTTGCC